ATAGTTTTTGATTATTCTATAACGCTGAAGTACTAGATCTCAAAAACTTTTTTTTTAAAAAAAGTTCCTAATATTTTCCCCATATAAACTTGTAATCAGGATTTTCAATTTCGATCTCGATGGCCCGATCCCATAATGTTGACAATAAATTGAAGATTTAACAAAGTTAGATTTGGTATTCACTGGATCTTATTATTTCTTAATGCATCGTTTTAAGTGTTTATTGCAGAGATAGAAGCCGATTTTTTCGGCTTAACTCAATTTTTGATTTTTTTTATAGAAAAATCGGTTAACTTGAAATTCTGAGCTTACTATTGCTACATTCTGACAAAAAAAAAATCATAGTAAAGCATGTAAAATTCAATTTAAATAATTGAAATGGGCGCTAAATGGCTTTTTTCTATCAAAAAAGTCGAAAAAATTGAGTTAAACAGAAAAATCCGGCTTCGATCTCTGGTTTATCGCCATAAAAGCCAAAAAGTCAAAAATTTAACCATAGCTGTCATTATCACCGAGGACGCTACTAGCTTTACTAGATTTGTCGAATCAAAAACCTAGTTTGAAGAATTTTTTTTGAGGAAATATGTATTGTTTGATTGATTTTCGGGCTAATACACGATTATTTTGATTAGAACGCATAGTAAATCAATAAAATATAAATTTAAAAGACATTTTAAATTGATTTTTGTAAATTTTTGACTAGTGCACTAGATTTAGTTGGTAAAAAAATCACTTTTTGACGTTTTAAGGCTAGTTCATTACTTTAGCTAATTTTTAAATTAATATACTGAACTCAAAATGTATCCAAAGATTTTTGGGGACATTATTCTTTTCAATACTAGTCAAAATTTTAACATTTAATAAATTTTAAATTTGAAAAATTTTAAAATTATTTTAATAATCCCAATAATCCCAATAATCCCAAACCTGGGATTATTGGGATTATTGGGATTATTTGGGATTATTGGGATTATTTGGGATTATTGGGATTATTGGGATTATTTGGGATTATTTGGGATTATTGGGATTAATCCCAGTGTCCACGCCTTGCTTCAAAACCAAACCAGAAACTCATCTAAAAAGTTTGAAATTAAATAAATTTAGCATGAAAATCCTAAACAAAATTGAAATGTACATCTTCATTTCTGGTTGATAAACATGAGTATCATATCCATGCAGCATGTACAGGAAGTAATATTTTATCCATTAAAACTTTCTCAGAAAGTATCAATAAATTTTTTTTACCGCATTTAAAACTTTTTTATTTCAATACCTATGTAGGGGTTATCCACCAATGAGGTGCATTTAACGTGGGGCTTTAAGGACCTTATCTTGGGGGAGAGTTTTTGAGGCTAGCAACTGCAACTTATCCAAGTCGCTTCAAATAGACACCTCCGTCAGTCATAAAACCAGCAGCATAGCCAGATGTTGTTTTCTGTGGTCAACCCCCCCCCCCCCCCCCAACCCCCAACCTATGCTTTCTCGCTATCGGGATCGGGATCGGGATTTCCCGGGATTTACCGATCCCGATCAATCCCGGGATCCCGAAATTTATCGGGATCGGGATTGAAAATCCCGGTTTTTTAGTTTAGGAAATTATTGATGTTTTAGAACCTGCTAAATACGCGAGAGAAGAATTATTGCGTAAATCAAACGATTTATTAATTGCTGAAGGAACAATTAACTTTTTGCTAGACGAATTGTTGCTACAAGGAACATTATTGTCTCAAAAGGTTTACGATATGAATTGCGCTCGCATAGGTGCACGAAGAAATGGAACATTAATTGACTTAATACTTTACCTGAATAATCCTCAATATATTTCTTTAGACAAGCATTTTAAATCGTCAACAAAAGCTGCAATACATAAACTTGGCATTGACTTATTGAAGAAGTATTTTGTCAAAAACTCTACAAATGGAGCTATGGAAGCTTCAACATCCAGTGCAAATCAAATCCAACCGTCAAACATTTCTATTCGAGATAGACTGAAACTAAGCATATCTGAATATACATCATTAACAACAGATGCAGCAGCAACAGAACCAAATAACTTGAAAAGAGAGTTTAATTGGTATGACAAAAATAAGAAGAGAACCGTTTTATTAGATCAACTTTACGATGCATTGATAACAATGCAGCCGACCTCAACTCAAAGCGAACGAAATTTCTCTATTAGTAACAACATTCTTACAAAAAAAAGAAAACGTTTACTTGACAAGAATCTAAATGCAATTGCATTTGTTAAAAGTTTTTTCATTAATGCTTAATTTTTATTATTATATTCACACCGTTTTCTATAACCTTTTAACTTACATACATCTTTATCAACATTTATTTTCTATTTTTGTTTATGTTCACATTTTTCAAAGGAAACATGGATTAAAACATCCACCTTGTAACACATAAAGTATAACTAATTAATTAAGGAATAAATGACCGTATAAGTAGCAAAAAAATATATAATTTTTTTTGGGAAAAAAAGCAGAAAAATGCTGTTTTTTAAATTTTTTTACATATTCGGGATTCCCGGGATTTCCCGGGAAATCCCGAAAAATTTCAATCCCGATCCCGATCCCGAAAATTTGTCGGGACCGGGATTTCGAGAAAGCATACCCCAACCCTCTTAAAAAATTCTACAATTTTTCAAAAAAAAAAATAAATTGCTTTCCAACTTTATTTTCCAATGCCATAAGAGATAAAATTGTTCATCCATTCACACTAGCAGCAACAACAAAAAAAAAAGACGAATGTAAAAGGTGTAAAAATGCCATGATACGAGCACTGTGGCATGCGAGAGAGAGCGTCGACGACGGTAAAAAAAAAGAATTTACACAGAAAAGAAAAATGAAATCATCAAACAAATAAAATAAATTTTTTTTTCGCCTCACTCTGACTTGTTTTCCCTCCCTATCAAGCTTATCTTATCAGCAAACATATTTGTCACTGTATATGTGTCTCGAGCTGTATCAAGTGTGTGTATATAAATTTCTAGGGAACGGCAGGTTAGTCAACAATCTTTTTTTAATAATTTCGTTTTGTTACAGATAAATTTTTTTTAAAAGCTAAATGAAATCATATTTCGCAATAATTATGACACACTGAGTATGTTGGAACGTATGGATGTATTTGTGTACGTCATTAAAATGATGATGATGATGATGATAAAGTAAGTAAGTGCTATTTAAATACCATTACTTCAAGATTTTTAATGAAGATTTATTTGTCCATGCCTTTATGCTAGTTAAGGGCAAGGAGAGGAATTCAAATTTGAATTTTATGTAATTTTAAATGTGAATCGCTTGAGTGGAAAGTAAATTTTTAATGAAATTTTGTCTTTCCTGTCTCGCAATTTCCATAATTGAAATTATTTCTTGACGAAAAAAATTTTAGCATGTTAAAAAGGTGACCTAAATTTTTTAAGCATGACAAGCTTCTTTTGTGTTGTTAGCGGTGCTCTCATTAGTTAATGTTGCTTTTTTTCTAATTCATATAATTAACAGCACTCAAAAGTTGTTCTTTGACGTGAATTTTAAAATTCAGGATGGCAAGGAAAGAATTTTAATCCCCGACTAAAACTTTTTACCGATGGAAGTCCCTTTTGGGAATTTTAATTCTTGATATTGAATAAATTGAAAAGTGTAATAATCATTAGCAGCTGTGATCTGTGGAGTTGTTCCTTTCAGATGTCTATCATTTTATGGGATACAATGGAAGAAGATTAGAAGCTGTGTGACATACTTTAGAGTAGGAATTCTGTAATAATTTAAATTTTGTAGCCTGAACGTTTTGGAAGATGTCAGTTTTGAATGTTTTAAATAAGTATGGACTCAAAAAGCATCATCGACACTGGTGGCACGAATTTTGTATAAAGCTGACTCCAAATCCATAGCTCACTATCAGGCGCGTAACCAGGGGGGGGGGGGGGAGGGGAGGGTTGAGGGACAAATCAACTGGAGTTAACAGAAATTTCTTTATTTTGCTAGGAGTTTTATGGAAAAATCATAATCAATCATAAACATCCCATGAGTAAGTGAGTCAGATAGAAAGCCTTTTGTTGTAACCTAATCTCCACATAGGAACATAGTTACAGGAAGTAAGTAAGGACTATTATGCTTGGGTTGATTTCTAGGGCTACCCAAGGTAGCATATGCAATATTGTAGCACATCAAATTTTATTCCGAGAGTAAGGTGACCCAGGTAGCACTAGATCACCTCCTGTTCTAAACGCTGCATCTCCAGGTCAATTGAGGATCTAAACCTCTGCCTTTATAGAACTTACTATAGTCTAAAGTCTAGAAACTATGATGATTATCAACACAAAGAGTATTACGCGGGGGAGGGGGATACTTCGAATAAATACTAAAATCCCAAAACAAGAATGCAAAAAGGTAGATCCAAATTCAATGCCATTGTAAGTATAATCTCATGCCATGTCTCGAACTTATGTTCCTTTTGTGAGTGTCATTAAATCCCAAAGCATGAAACTACTAAGCACTCGTTTGACTTCAACTCACAAGAATTAATATGCAGAATATTATTATCGTGTTCAATTTAAATTTGTAAAAGGTTGGTTAAGGTATAATTTGTTATGCAATCCTCTTATTTCAAGTTCCATGTCAATTCTAGGTACTTGAAATATGCAAATGCAATGTGAAATTCCTTATGATTGCTCATATGGCTAAATATGAGTTTTCTGTAGAAAAATTTAAATCATTGAATTTTACAGCACGGAAATTCTCGGACAACCTCAATTAAAATCAAAAAACTATTTCTCATTTATCTGTTTTTTTAACTAAAGTGAAATCCACGCTTCACTTATTAAACTCATATCACTTATCAATTTCATATGAAATTCCTCATGTTTTTTTATAAAACAACAATCATCGTCAGTAACGTAAAAGCAAGCTAGCAATTCTCGAGTTCAACTTGTTTTGTGTAAACTTTGAAAAAAGCTCATTCAAAAATCATAAAAAAAAAGTTTATTATTTTCGACTTACCCATGCAACTATATTGAAGCAAAAAAGCGTATATTTAACGCATGCAATATTCCTCGCTAGGCGAGCTGCACTTTCTCCTCTTGTGTCAATTTTTCGTGAATCCATATTTTATTTTATATTTTTTTTTGTGAATATTAATTTGAAGTTTTAATTGTTTGTTCACTTAAAACAATGCTTTTATTTTTTGGGATGTTTACTTTCAGTTTTTTTTATGCTTGCTCAAAATATTCAGTTCCAATATATTTGCAAACAATCAATTTTTACACTCAAATATGCAAATTTTCCAATTAAAACTTTTTCACGAATTCAGTTTTTAAACTGCAATGACTGAAAATTATACGAAAACTAAAGAAATTTTTGCTGATTACGAACTTCATTACACCTTATCGGTGCCTCGCCCTAGCTTTTATCTTATCTTATCTGAATTATTTCTCATGTGTGTATTTAAAATGGAAATATGTGTGTTAAGAAGATAGCGCAAGTTACAGGTTCACATACAGATACGCGTATATGCGACTAGAAAACAATGTTTGATAACGAATTTCTGGGTTGGAATCAAAGTGGTTGGAATTTTGTGACAGTTTTATCGACCTTTAATTGTTTGGTGATGGTGAATTAAGTAGATTCTTTAATCAGTTTACTTAATAATTGGAATAATTGTTCAAAAACTTCCCTAAAAGGCTCTGATTAATGAAATTCATCAAAAAATTAGAAATTATTAAAATTCCGTTATTTAAAAATTTAAATTTTCCCACACTTTTTCAAAACGTTTGTTTACAAATATTTTTCATTAATGAATTTTAAAAAATTTCAATTATTCAATGATTAAAGCTGGACTGTTGATTGAATGTTGAAGCAACATTGTTGCTCACTCTTTCTGAACACTAAATAGGTGATCAAATCGCTTATAATCATCAAACTAAGCCAAAATTGAATGAAAAAACGTTGATGTGAAAATTGAAAAAAAAAGTTTTTTTTTCAAAAGTATCAACATCTTAGAAATAACTAGATTTGCTAGTTACTAGACCAACTCTGCCAATGTCGATAGATATTTATAGGGATCTAGTGATTGATACTTGTGGATGAAGGAGAGGAAATAAAAAAATTATGTAACTTGGTATGCGTAATTACTGACATTAATCATCAAAATTCAATTGAATTATTGTTATATAAACGGGATCTGCATGCTCATTGCCTATTGCCAATACTTTACATATTACTACATCAATTTTTACATACACAGAAGTCGAAGATGCTCAATCAGCATAATAATAAGAAATTCCTTCTTATTCCTTCTATTTTGTTGCTTCGATGAGCATCATCCGTACTTACTTATATGTTAAATTCCATGCAATTAATTTGATTGCTTAATATCAAGAGCAGCATTGGTAGATCAATGCTATGTGGCTGAATGGAAAATTGGGAAAGAGAAGAAGAAGAAGGAAAATTTATTATTCAGTCATTTTATTCGTTTACTTTATTTGAGAATAGCGACTCATGTTGAATCATAATAATGTATGGATGTAGAATATTGCTGGGGAAATTGTGATACATATCAAGTAGCAATTTATGTGATTATATATTGTGAAAGCTAATGAATAATTTAAGTTCATTTTGATTTTCATTCTTTTCTCTTTAAGTTTTTATCCTTCTTCTTGTGGTTATTCCTTTGTGCAGGTTTTTTAAAATTGGGATTAGGTAGGGATGTCGATAGAATGTCTGATTTGGCAATGTTACTTGTGCTGAGTTTGATATTTTCATCCACGAGTTGTCAATCGTTCAAAACTTTTCAATTGTCAAGTAAACTAGCTTTACTTTTCAAGATCCTGTCAGACTCTTGCCATCATCAGGAATGCATTGCTTTACAACCATCAGGTTTAAAATGTTCAGCTTGTTTCAAGATTTCAGGAGTCTTGTTGCCTTCATTTGGGGTCTATAAGCTTCACATCAGATAGTTTTGATTGATTTTGTCTCGATGGGACTTGAACACAATAGTTTAAAAGCAACGTTTCAATTTTCAGTTACTAAAGTAAAAGTCCACTGCACTAAATCAGCACAAAGACCTATTTAGCCTAAAATGCATCACATCCACAATAACATTCAACAACATTAACCAAACTTGCCATTTCTCTTTCTTAGCATTGAATTTCATTTTCATTCTTTTTTACTTTGAAGATTTTTATTTCATCAAATCGTTAAAGGAATCACAAGCAGTGAGGAAAATAGTTTTTTTTCTTCTTGTTTCGATAAATCTCATTCGGAACTCAGAAAAGGAGGAATTTCAAAGGAGGAAAATAAGAGAAAATCGAATTTAAATTTATAAAATGCGCATTTCATGTTTAAATAAATGTGAATCACTGAATGAAATCATTGTCAAAGCTTTATCTAAAGACATTTGGAGTGTTTTTTATTTAATTTAATTTTTTTGTGAGCTTTTAAAGTTTTTTCATTGTGATTTTACGGTAAGTTACTTGAAAGTTCTCAATGAATCGATGTTTTTTGAATGTTTTGTGGATTTTGGTAGTCGATTATTGATTATGTCTATCATTAAAGGCAAAAAGAAGGGGGACATGTCTAATTTTCAAGTTACGTGGAGTCACTGCCACTCTGGCACACTCGTACTCTAGCTCATCTTATTGATGAAACTTTAGCACGATTATTGACTGACAGTTGAGGACTTGCGACTCATTTATTTCAATTTTTCTCAAAGTAATCACTTATGAAGCCCCCTTCCCCCTATTCCTTTAAAAATCATTTCAAACCTCCTACAATAACTATAGCTTAATTTCATGTTTTATTCCATAATCGTTCCTTTCTTGATTTTATGAAAAGTACTCGTACATAACAATTAGCTTGACAGTCACACATCAACTTCAGTAATTATACGCTAACAATAACGTTCTACTTATGCTGTACGTAGAGTGAAAGAAAAGTTGTGTGAATTGTAAATCAAACAATTAAATTAATTAACTTGTCAGTCATAATTTTACTGCATAGATTTTTCTGTGAATTTTGATATGTAATTGAATGGCTTGAGCTAGATTTGGTTCTTGTTAATATTGATTTTTTGATTACATATGAATTCATTCACAGAGCTCTGTGGGGGAATCGAACTAAGAATTGTTTTGGTTTTGGAAACCTTGATCCCATCACACGCACCTACATATAACTTAGAAACTGAAAATCCTTTTGATGCGACTCAACTCAATCTTTCAATTCAATAAATCTCCAATTCGTATCAGTTCCTTATTTTAAATCCTGAAAAAAATCAAAAAATCACATTTCCGTGTCAAATCCTCACAAATTTCCAAGAAGGTAAGAAAATAAATTGTTAACTTCATTGGCTTCACAGCTGCCTTTGGTTTGCCACAAGTCTTTTAGAATCGTAGAAATTAATCTCGTATTTCCAAGAAAACAACATTAATTCGAAAGGTGGCTTTATTGCCAAGGTCAAACGAGAATAAAATGAGAAAATGACATTTTCAAACAAGAGAGATTGAGTGAATCGCATTAAATATGTCTGTGTAGGAGGTTAAAATTTGCTTAAGTAACTCAACAACATAAAATTTTCAGTAAAGCTTCTCATTTTCATGTAAACACTGTCTGGAGTTTCTTAAAGAAAAATATTTTAAGTGCTTCACAGATGATTCATGATTCGTGTCCTTTGTATGTAAATCATTTTTCTTTAGTCAGGTGTAACTACGTCAGAGACGACGACTCATGCCTGACAAGTCTGTATTTATAGATGTGGGAGTCGAAAAAATTCTTAAAAAACAAAATAATTGCTGTGAATACAAAATGCTACTTTTTAAATTCCACATGTTGATTTGGAAATATTCAAATCGCTTATGGCTTGATATTAAAGAAAATGTCGCATTAGCAACAATCCATATGTATTATTTAAGCTTTAAGGCTGCAAATTGTTTTCTTCGTCAAAGAATAGATTTTCGAATATAATTTTTATTTTTCGAATTCGAAAAAGTTTGTTTACATTTCCACTTCAAGATTTTAATCATTGATTTTAGCTTCACTTCTTGTTTATAAGATATTTTGGTAACTGAAAAGAGTACAAAAAGTGTGAGCAAAGCAGTAAACATCAACTTTTTATAGTGAATCAGTCATGTTAGTTGAAAAAATGAAGAATTTTCAATTAAATCTTTTAAAAATGTTGTAAACAAATAACTTAATAAATGCAGAAATATTCTAATTTCAAAAATAACTGTCAATACCACAGTCAAAATTAAGAGAATGTGGAAAATACCAAAGAAATAATTACTCGAAAAAATTTTGAAAACACGAATTTATTAAATTCTCCCCCACATATTTTTCAACTTCTATATCTCTAACGTAGGTAAAGTGCGTACACCACAAAAAGATGAAAAGGCACAAATCAAAAAGAAAATTTTCTTAATTATCTAAAGTAGAAAATAATTTTTTGATCAAGCCAGAAAAGAATCCTTCAATTTTATTTTCAAATCATTAAGGTAATCTGAGATAATTTGATCACTTTGTGTAATAAGGTTTTCCTTGCCTTTTTCTTACATTCTAAAGAGACTGAGAGACGATTTCAAGTCAGCAGACTCTCCGAGAGCATTTATTGAGAGCCGCTGAATTCTCATCACCCATGCGCACCTCAAAAGAGATAAAAAGAAGTAAGTAATTTTACTCTCCGTACACAAACGTCGTCGAGAATTTGAGTTTATTAGTTTTTTTGCCTAGTAAGACAATAAATTCTTTTTTATTACATGGGCAATATTACTTCCTTAACTGAAATGAAAATATTTTTCTTTTGTCTCTGTTAAATTGTTGACATTTCTTTTTATGCTTCATACTTTGCTCTCCTTGCTTCCCCCCCTCATCTCATTATTTCTCTGCAAATGAGACTCAATGTTGATATTGCACAATAATGAAGTGTCATGCCATGCCAATTTAGAAATTTATTTTTCGAGCTTCTTCTTTACTTTCTTATGTGCTTCGCTGTGTCTACAAAAGGTATGTATCACACTATTAAATTAGGAAATTAAATTTTTATCCTTTTAATGAAGAATTTACTCAAGAATGAGCGTAAAGTTTGTCATGGAAAATCTGCAGATTGGATGAGCATGTAGAGCTGATAGAATGAATTAATGTGAATAAACTTTGTAAATTAATGACACCCAAGCTACCTCCTATTTTTGCTACTCCTTCTTTTTCTTTTTTTAGTAGTTGTACGAAAATGTTCTTCTCCCAAGTGTCGTGTTGTCTTCGTTGTCGGTGTTGTGTGCTGTTAAACATGGCAACTTATTTATTCGCATGTAAAACATCAGGTGGGAGGTGGTTTCAACATCTCAATTTGATATGTTTGGTGCATTTTCGTTGAATTGATTGCCACTAATTAGGTTAGAATGCGTTCTAAAGGAATTGATTTTTTTAATGAGTATCAATCATCAATAACAGTCAAATATCATGATCTGGGTATAGTGAAAAATAAAATGATCGAAGAAATATGTCACAAGTCGAACCTAGGTCCAGTTATTAACTAGTCGAATGTTCTACTTGAGAATTAAGCATGCTGACAAGTTTATTCACTTGAACAGTAGGTCTATAGCATTTGATTGATCACTTAAATTGTAATATGAAAACAAAAAATTCAGGTTCCAAGTGCACTAGTTTATTCTAGAGCATAACAAAAATCAACTCATCTCCTATTGATAGAAATAAGGATGGAGAGTTGCGATGAACTAGAAAACTGCTTCCCGCTAATTGTTGAAATTAGAAAACTATTTTATAACCCTCTAAATAGACAAAATATCTAAACAATTTTAAATCAGTTCTATAAAGCGCAAAGAAGTCACACTAATATCCAATAATCCAACATAATGACAAGTTCACAACAGTTTATACAATTAATCGATAATTAGGAAGAATCTCCTGCTGTCAATAATGAATGTATATGAGAGAACACATTCGAGGTGTGAATGGTATTCAAATTGAAAATGCTTTTATCTACTGAATCATTTGTTATGTTAATGCTTCATTGAAAATTAATGTACAATTTTTGGTAATTTGATAATCTATTCCGAGAAACTGCTAGCCAATAAATTTAATAATTAAATGTGTGTAATTTATGACTTATGGAAATTCTTAAGTAATTATAGTGGTAAAAGTCTAATTTTATGGAATGACTGTTGTTTTCTAACGATTTTTTGAATTTTGAATTTAATTTTTTTTTTATATATGGAAACAAGAAATTGAATTTGGGGCCGTTCACTTATTACGTTCGCATTATAGGGGGAAGGGGGGGAGGGGTTGAAAAATTGTAACAAAATGTAACACAGGGGGAAGGGGTGTCAAGAAGTATGTAACGTTTTAACTGTCGTCTGTCTTTTAAAAAAAAGTTCACGAAAAAAATTTGTTTAAAAATTCACACCAAAAACATTTTTTAAATTTTCCACCTTTTTAATGATAAAATAAATTATGAATTTCGTTCAGGGGGGGGTTGTGAGTTGTAACATATTGTAACAAGTGGGGGAGGGGGGTGAAAAAAGTTTTTTTGCGTAACTTAATAAGTGAACAAATTTTATGATTTTTAAAGCATGAATTCAATGTATTAGACTCTTTTTTAAGACTTCCTACCATTTTATGTGCTATTGATGCTAATAAACGTAAATTGAGCTTAAATTTCAATGTAAATAAAAATTGAAAATTCAAACTTCAAAAATCAACTAGAATCGTCAATTTATTCTATGCTGGATCTACAAGCACCAACAAAAACACAATAATAGCATACAACTCCCACTTAAAATCCGAATCAAGTCAAGTAAAAACCATACAAAAACAAAAAGCTCATTTTTCATTCGAAAATGTTTCTATAAAACAGTAACATGACGGTGTGTTTGGGGATAGAATGAGGTGTAGAATTTTCAGATGATCACAATTCAACCGAATGAAATATGAAAAATACATGATACGAATCGTTATCGACGTGTGAATAAGTGATAATGTTGTTCTTCTATACTGAGTGCTATCATCCAACGTGAATCTTGCATTATTGGCTTCCGTTTTTATTGAATAAAAATGGAAATTTTGTTTCTGAGGGTGGCAAAAGGAAACAGAATTTCCATGTGAATCTACAGAACGAAGACAAAAAGGAGAAGGCTGAATCCACAATGAGCGGCAAACGACAATGACGGGGAAGGTGTTTATTTTTAAATATTTATGGTGCTTTTATTTTTTATCTTTTTCTCACTCTTTATTAAAACAAGTTTTACATCACAATAAGTGAATGTAAGGTCTAGAAGATACATGATGGGATGGATGGATGACGGAGACGGAGAAAATTGATATTGAATGAGGAACATTTTTTTTCAATTTTTTTTAGTTTATTAAAATTTTGTAGCAACGACCTTTTCTACGTTCCTAGTAGATTTATGGAAAATGATGTTGTAATTTTTGTCCATTCCACTCATCTATTGCAGCCACCCTCCTGAAACTTTCCAGCCCAAAACACAATAAATTTGACATTTGTAGCACATTTCACTTTCATTCCTTCCTCTTCCTTTTTACAGCTTGCTGTTGCTCGATATTTTTCGGTCTACTTAAGATGTGAATTTTCACAGCTGCTACTCCTTCAATGTTTCACTGCCATTGCCACTACATTATTGGACCTTTCTCTTCGACCAACTTTCTTCCATTGTCCAATTTTTTTCTTTATCTTCCTCACCGTTCATTTTGTTGCCATCTAACTTAAGTACGATTTGTGTTCTTTGTTCGCAATTTACTTCTAATGCTATGGCTCATGGCTGTATACAAGACGTGTAATGTTAACAAGGACGAGCATGTTGAAATGAGAAAGTCCACGCATTTTGCTATAAAACCTCAACCTGTCATCATTTAAGCTTCCTTATTGCTTTTGCTGCATGAATACTTATTGAAATTTTCTCGGTCAGGAATGAAAGAGGAGGTTGAAGGAGATGAGTATGTTGAAAAGAAGTCAAAGAACTACTTGGAAGGCTTAGAGTATTGGATGTTATGTTCACATCTTGTAAATGAACTTTGAATCTTGAAAGCTCATAGAAGCTTTTGCTTTTTCACAATAAAATTGAATTTTCTGTCGATCAGAACGAAAAAGTTATTGAATTAATCAAAAATTAAGAATATTAAATAGCATCAAGCTTGATAACTGTAAGTAAAACATAGAACTAATCTCTGGCAATTGAAATTGACTCGAATTTCACTTGATTTTCACAGCATTATGGATCCATTCACCATTTTACCTTATGAGCTACAAGAAGAAATTTGTTCGTATTTAAAATTTCCAGACATCATCGAATCATCTTTTGTCTGCAAGAGCTGGTATCAAGTCATTGGAGAATCAAAATACTGCATGAATCGAATCTTCTTTAGAAATCCACTTCAAGGGCTTTTGGAACAGATTGATTATATTTTAAAGAGTCGTCGTCATTATCAGCATGTGATTCTATTCGAATTTGATGAGAACGTTAAAAAGGATACAAAGATTTTACGGAATATGAAATCAATCATCAACAAGTTCTCCGAATCTCTCACAAATCTTTCTATATCACATGACTTACAACGTACATCTGAGCTTCCAAAATTGAGGGAACTAGATTTTTTCGGTAGCCTCTCGCACAGATTAATTGTTGCAAATGGTTTGATCACTAAAGCAAATAACCTGATTAATTTTGATATTGAGAGTTGTTGCCTTGGAAATTCATCAATTGAATATTTGGTCAACAGCCTTAAAGACAATTCTAGCTTAAAAGATTTGAAGATTAATGATTGCCGAGTGATGAATGCTCTCAATACAGTTGAAGTTAAATTTGTGCTCGAAGAATTTCATGTTCACCAAACCAACAGTTTTGAAAGAAACTCCAACATTAGCAACTTCATCAACAAATTTAAGCCATCACTCAAAACTATTTGTGGACCGCTTACATTCCAAGATATTGCAAATTTGATGACAGACTTTCCAAAATTACTAATGTTGTCGGTACGGAATGAGTTGCTGAGTTTTCTAAGTCCTGGACAGGAATTTCTGGAAATGCAAATAAATGAGACGATTAAAGTTTTGTCAATTGATCCTGCATTTGGAGATCTCATGGATGATAGATTTTACACGAATTTCAATGCAATCATTTCAAAACTTGGGAATGTTCAGTTGTTGCTGATAACGTTCATTAACACAAGGATTTTAGACATAATCCTTGCCTGCAGATCATTAAAATATATCAAATATTTTCATCTTGAAGATATGTCAATAATCCAATTACTAAGAATAGGAGTAGATTCACATAAAATTTTTATTCCTATAATTCCCTTTTGGCTGAATGAGCCATAAGACCTGAAAATTATTTTATTTTATATTATTAGTGATTTATTGATATTCTCTTAATAATAGTTTATTTATTTCGTACATCTGTTGCTCTTTTTTCCTAGCTTTAAGTTTGATATCTCCAAATTTTATGCTCTAGACTTCTTTAGCGTCTTAATCGGTGTGAATACAAGGAAATGTCAAACACGAGGTAATAAATGTTGAGAATTTGTTGCTTAATTCAACATAAAGAAGGAAAAAAAATGAAGGTACGAGTGAAATTTGTTGCTGAATTTTATGCTTATTCTGTTCTTGCTGCTCTTGCTGTGCTGCTTTTTTGTGTTATGTTGAAATGAGTGAAAAAGGACGGCACAAATGCATGAAGTGGAAGTGGAACTAGCAATTCACACCTGTTTTTGTTGATTATAAAATATGGCAAAATTAGTGCCACTTGTGTAGGATGTCCATAGCTGGCTCCATTATTTCTCTATTTTAAGACGATTGTGAACACTTTCAGCACAAACAATTGAAGTATTTTGAGGACATAAACTTTGAAAACAGTCATGACAACAAAGAAGTAGACCTTTTATCATCTGGACATCCTTAACATTCACAACAAGAGCTTTTATTGTCAATGATGTCCATAAATCTTCTTGTTAGTGCACACGGATGCGAGCATCGTGCGAGAATAGAAATAAGAATTATTTCAACATGTTGAATTAAGCACAAATGTAATTAAAGACTTTATGGAAGTAAAAAAGGAAGGATTCAGTCGCTATCTCGACACAAAGTTTCTGTAATAATTCCATTTAATTGCGGCAAGCACCAAAAAAATTCTTTATTCTCGCATGTGCGTGCGAATGTGTCTCGGTGAATAATGGAGGAAGTTCATTGGAATGAAAAGAGAATAAATGTTTCTTGTGAGTCTCCAGGCAACGATAACTAGAGCAGCAACAGTAGCAGAATAAAAAAAAAGTGCGTGCTGAAGATTTTATCAAACATCCTTTCGATATTTTACAGCACCGTTTCTTAGTTGATCAGGCAACAAAACTCCTTTTAAGTGGAATTGCTGATAAGAAGTCTGGGAGATGGAGGAAGGAGTAAGGAACAGCAATGAGTAAAAAATTGCAAAACTTTTCTTTATTTTTCCTTCTTTATCATCGTCATCATCGTCATTGCAAGCCATTTCCCAGTCATTTATCCATTTTCAGACAAAAAAGGCAGCACATAGCAAGGCACAAAGCAAAGGCAAGTGCGAGAGAGTTAGCAGAGATAAAAAATTTTCTTTTCTATAATTTACTTAATGAAAACCAATAACCATAAAAAAGTGAAAAGGGAAAATTTTCTGAGCTTCTCGTTCCTTCATTCCATCACCATTTTCACCAACAGAAAGAAATAATAAAATAGCAAGCTGCTCTTGCAGAAATAAAATAAAATGAGTCGAAATGGAAGTTGGAAGAATCGAGGGAATAAAAAAGGGTTTATTTCACTTTCTCAAGAAGAATTTACGTCATGCCTTTTTTACTCACTGCCGTGCCTTGATTTTATAAATGAATCCTCTATGGATGCATTCAACAATTACATTACATACATCTTCATTTCGTCTTGTCATCACTGCTGTTAATTTTAAATACGTGCGTTTGTATGAATATTAAGGCATAATGACAACGACACACAAACGCGAATTAATAATAAATTAGAGATTAGTTCCACTTTGTGGGTTGAGATGAAAGGAGCAGTCAAACTGAGTCAAATTAGAAGAAGAAAAAAACCAAAAGAATTAAAAGACTTAAAAAAGAGTTCATTAGAAGAAGGCAGATAGGCTGTGGGTGGAGGATGGATATAAAAACTTCTTTCATATTACTCTAATTATCCAATTATAATTGCCGTCTCTAACATCTTTGCTCAGAGCTAAAAAGCCATTAAAGTTGGAAAAATACACAAAATTTTACAACAAAGAAGAAGGTTGATGCCTGTTAATTAGATTCTAATTGCCGGCTGCTGTTACTGTTCCCTTACAAACGCTACAGCGTAGCAGGAAGGAGAGCAGCAAAAAAAAATTCACAATATTGTCAATTAAGTACTGATGACGAAGCAATTTCAATTCAAAAGCTGAAAAGGCTGAAAAATGTCAAGTACCGCACATAAATTGAGTGATCTGTGAGCTGATTGGACACAAAATCCCTTTCATCTGAGCTTTACAATTTAAATATGCATTGAATGATGTTTCTATTGGAAATGCCACACGAGCATCAATGTCTATCCACAACCCGCACCTCTTTTGATTCCCAATTGATTCATTTACATTTACTATACACGTCAAGTGCCTTTTTTCCAATCATTTAAATGACAAACATGATGTTACAGCAACAAACGACTTCGTACATACCGAATAGAACGAGCTGTTGTGGTTTATACATGACGCATTGTAATCCACGCGTGTATTCCTGTTTTTCGTCATCATCAAAATCGTTTGTAGAGGCATTTAGTGTTGAACAAAACCGTCAACATTCTCATTCCAACAGACCGCAACAGTAACACGCAGTTACTTCACAATTTAGTTGATTTCAACACAGCTTTTGAGGCTGTTTCAACTTCAAATCTTCATTGCACGTCTCGAAAGCATTTAATAAAATCATAAATTCCAGCTTTAATTCTCAACTTACAGTGTAACAAGCAGCAACACATTCTTGTGCACGATGATGAAATAAATATGAATTTTTAATTAAATTCTTTTAGTCGTGTCTCCTTCCTTCCTTCCCATTTATGTTCCTATACCTTACTTACTCATTTCCTCATTCACTCACGCGCCATTCAAGATAAATTTTGGATATTTTGATTCCAAATGCGTTCTCATAGGAGATATATGTAGGAATAAATAAATAATTTGCGTGTACATATGGTTTTAACAATCAGCATCAGCATCAGCATCAAAAAGGCAGAAAAGGATTGGAAGTTGATTCAGAAAGTTTTGTGACTCAAAACCATCAATTTTCTGCATGAATTAAATTCCAACATTGGAAACAACAAAAGTTGCAAAAAAATGTCAAAATGAGGAACTGAATGAAGAAAAGTTAAGCAACAGAAAAAGACATGAGAGCAGCACAAGAACACAAAAAAAGTAATGAAGGATTAAGAATGAAAAGGGAAAAAAGATCAAAAAATAAACAAACAAGAAAATTCAGCATAGACTAAGGCACACATACACAACTACAAATCTAATGCAAACATGTGAGCTCTTTAAAATACGTAATGAGATTATGGTTCGTGCGTGTTGTTGTTCTTGTGCCTATGCATGGGATGTCTATAGATTGGAATGAGAAGAACAAACAATTAAAATTAAAAAAGTAGCTTTCCGCCTTCAGAAAGTTTAATCCTCTCCATCCTCCATCCAATAATTTAATAACAACAACTCCATCGGCATCATTTCGTTCCTTACGATGTCACATTCAAATTCTGTAGCTGCAAAATTAAGAACATTTAACTCGAATACATTATATAAAGCCACAGGATTAACAATTTTCAATCATACGATTCTTTTCTGCACAAAAAAGAATCACACTTTATTTGAGACATCAGAATTTCGACATAAACAATCAAATCTTTAATTGAATCATCTACATTTTTATATTCACACCGTTTTCACGTGTGCGGCATTGCTGAGAAAATCGCAAAATACGCTTTCTGTAAGCAAGCAAACAAGCAAGTTAATCAGCAAGAAAGTTAATCAGCAAGAAATCTCAATAACGAGACATCGTAGAGACTTCTAGTTTTTTACATTTGATCCGTGCTGCTCTATAGAAGAGCTGTATTGTTTTTGGGCAAGGTAGGAACAGCCGTTGCTTCAGAAAAAGCAAAAAACTTTCCTATCTTACTAATTTTTCAAATTAAAAGTTGACTGTGATTTTTATTAAATTAAACTTTGGATGAAAAAAATTTTTTTGAGCAAAGAACCAAGAAGGAAATACATTTTCAATATTGGACTAGGGGCTAGGGTTTGTGGAAAACAGCTGTTTTTGAAAAACTGTCTGTTTTCGGTTTTTGATTTTTAAAAACAGCTGTTTTCGTGTTTTTCTAGAATTCAAAATAAACTGAGTTGTCCTAAGTGTTTCTCTAAGATAATGAAACTTTTTGTTGGTTACAAGCAGTTAAGCATACATTATAGAGCTAAGCATTATTATTTCTTATTTTTTTATGTTAATTAACTCTAAAAAATATAATGAAATATAAAAATGCAAAAAAAAAAATGCAAAAAAATTTATACCTTTAAGTAACATTGCATTGTTGCATTGTAAAAGTTCCATAAGCTCTAATATTTTATTTGAAATATTCAAAAAATCTTTCTGAATAAAAAAATATCTTGTAAAATTGTTGATTATATTTTTAAACTTTAGTAAATGCTACAAAAGGTTCAACAAATTTAAAATTTCGATTGCAAAATTAATAATGATTAACCATAAATTTGATAATGATTTCAAACCAATTAAACACCCAAAAAATATTAAAATAGTAAATACATTTCAATTTGAAATGCTAGAAAAATATATTAAGTTCTTCAAAAAATAAAGAAATTTTTTTTTCTGTAAATTTTATGTAAAAATGAAAAACAGAAAACAGATCTTTTTTTGAGACCTGTTTTCTGTTAACAGATTTTTGTCGAAAAACAGCTGTTTTTCTGTTTTCCATTAACAGATTCCCCAAACCCTTCTAGGGGCGACCCTAGTCAAAATCAATTTTGTCACTTTTTTCTTCGAGGGTTTTTCCAAATGGATTGAAACTTTGCATAAATATTCTAGTGCTTAAAACAAATACAAATAAAACATCCTAAAATTTTTTTGAGCAAAGAACCGAGCAGGAAATACATTTTCAATTTTGGACTAGGGTCGACCCTAGTCAAAATCAATTTTGTCCCTTTTTTCTTCGAGGGTTTTTCCAAATGGATTGAAACTTTGCATAAATATTCTATTGCTTAAAACAAATACAAATAAAACATCCTTAAATTTTTTTGAGCAAAGAACCAAGAAGGAAATACAT